TTTGTTTTTATATTCAAGATCATATCATTTAATCATATAAGTTGTCACTTGATTGCATAGAAAGTGCCCTAGGTAGAAGATTCTGGTAAAAAGAAGAATTCTCAGTGAATCATTGGCTTTATTTTGAATTGCCCTGATTCCGGGTGAGATTTGATCTAGTTATTTCTCCAACCGAATACTATATACCATGTTGACCCTGTGATGGAACTGTTAAGAGCATCTACTGCTGATTGACAGGCCGTTTACCCAAGAGCCTATACACAATGTTTCTCTGGTTGCAATAAACAAAGAACATTAGGAAAGGAAAAAAAAAAAAAATACATGTTCTTGCCCTTTCTTTGAAAAAGAGCCAGAATTTTAGTTGCCATAATTATAATGTGAGCCAAGATTTTATTGCAACTAGTGAATAAACTGACAATTTTCTGCTAAATTAGTGGAAGTAACATGAAAATCCAGACATCAGAGAGGAAAGTATTATTGACTTTTCCATTGGTCAAGAATATCTGGAGTGTTTTTTTTAACTTGCGACCTCACCTTTGAAAAAAGAATCTTGAGAAATTTCAGGACCAGAAAAAGATGCAGGGACCCTGAGTGGCCCAGAAAGCTAAATCATGTAAAGAAACTACATATCATTACACTCAAGATGAAAAACACAAATGGCAATATCATAGGTCATCTCCAGTTTTATAAAGGTCATAACAAGATAATATTTGCACTTCTCCAGAGGGAGCAAAAAGGCCTAACAATTGCAAGAGAGAGGAAAACGTATTTTGGCTCTACACCAGAAATGAATATATAAAATTCAATTATCCCATAATAGAATGGTAAACTTGGAAAACACTGGGCTCTTACACAACATAGTAGCTGTGTGTGTAATTCTCTAAAGGTTCTTTGTTCCTTTATCTTGAACTTTACTTTTTTACTCCTCAATGATTCGGGAACATTACAGATATTGATTGTAAAATTAGGTTGTTACATTGAAAGATAGGTGATATTGACTTGAACCCAATTTAAAAAGAAAATCTTTCTTGCTTACTGACATATAATAGAACTTAGTTTTTCACTAATATTTTCCATAATTTTTCTTCCCTTTTTAACCATGTTTTCCTTTTGATTTGCTTCTCTTAAACTTCTTGCCATTTTTT